GAGGTTAAGCCCTCTCCTGATAGCAAAATGATAAAAGTTCTTACATTTGATAGCTCGTTCCTGTCACTACAAACTCGCTAAACTCGAATGATCAATAACAAAAGTCTGACAACTTGCTAAATGATTACTAATGTGTATTGGCCAAATTTCTGCACCGACCTGAGGACTGTGACCTTTTGAACCCAGATGAAAAAAGTGTGTTTACAGTTTTGATGTTTTTGTTTCTCTGCCATGCTGTCAGCTGGAAGCGACCAAAAGAAGAAGAAGCAACCAAAGTCACTGAATGCACAAATGAGGTTGGCCGGCCACTTAGATGGCAACAACACACATCAATGAGAACAGCACAGGATACAGCAGATAATTTGTACTATCTTTTGAACAAAGCTTACATCCTATAGCATATGTACTATTGCTGCAAAATTGAATCTGAAGTTACTCTGCAGTCTTAAAGATTTATGGATAAGAAGCAACGCCGAGATTGTTTCTTTTGAGCTGATTGTTAAGACCAGTGTAGCTGGTGACATACAGTCAAGTAGCCGGCAGAACTCTGGCGGTTGCCAGCTTGTTTTGAAACCCCTGCGTTGAGGCATGAAATTTGATCGTTGTGTCAAAGTCTTTGTTTATTGAGGTAAATATCTAATTTAGCTGATAATTTGACCACGAGTCACATTTGTCCGTTGAGGAGAAAGAAAAGCTTGAAACCATATGAATTTAATTTGTTTATCAACTGTAAAATTATTAGACTATCACAGCCAGGCAAAGGCTACTATTTACACTTTAAGTCAAAAGAAACCTTCTCTAATACCCCATTAAACCTGTTATCTATGCATCAATATCTTCGCACCTCCATTTGTGAATTGGCAAGATTGACATAGTAGAGCAGCCAAAACATAAAAATATCTGGCATTCCTCAGGATTCATTACTTAACCATTTGTGGCATCGATGAAATTATTTCTGTGGGCAACTAAAGAAATCTAAAAAATGTAAACAAGCAACTACTAAAACCTCAGGCCTCAAAAAATCATCTGTTTGCACTCTGAAAAGTTACTCAAACGGCTTTCCTCTTTTATTGATCACAAATACATGGAAATAACAAATTTTTCATATAAAGGCTATTACCAACCCTCATTCTCGCGGGTCATTTTCATTTTCTTCACTTTATTTATCGTTCAAGCCGTATCCTCCATATTACCTTCCAGCTTTGATGCCCGGACTTACTTTCAAATTGAAACTCCTAGTATTATCGCTCTTATCTGAGACAAGAGAGCAAAACAATGACAAAAATCAGTGAAATCAACCTCGTTTTAAAAGCGAGACACAATAATAACTCTGGCTGACTTTTTAAAATTAAGACGTGATAAACAAGGAGACAAATTTTTTCCAGTTTAAATATGGAAGAATTTCCTGAATGGACGTATTCAAATATATTGAAAATGCAAAATTCAGTTACAAATACAATAAAAATATCAACAAAAGAAGGCTTTATTTAAGTGGTGCATACTATTAGCTACATGGATTAGTTTAAAGACTTTATCAGCCAATACACACGCATGCCACTGAAAGTGGTCACACAGCTGTTGCTAAGATCTATGTGCATTTTTTTGTTCTTCCATTTTTTTAATTTGAAATATATACTTTTTTCCCCAACAAATTTAGGATCAGTAGTGGAAGTAAGTTTTAACTGGGGGAAAAACTGTGTTATTCTTGACTCTGATGAAGAAGCCTTATTAACCACATCGCAAAATCTGGAGGAGTATATGCTAAAGGGGAATGATTCTAACGATGCATGGCAACTCTGACCCACTGATAAAATGAATTCAATCCTAAGATGTTAGTAAAAGTCTTCATTGGGTATGCATAAAATTATTATCCATATTATGCCTTTTTGTTAACCTACCCACCTTTGGAATATTGGAAAAAAATGGAGTTTTCATTGTTGCACGACTGGCTTCTGAATTTTCTGAAAGCAATTATTCAGCTAACATTAGACTCTAAGGAAACTCCTTTCAGAAAATGATTTAAAAATTTCCGAAAGCAGAAATGGCTAAAAGTCATGTTTGTTTTTATTTTTTTTGCCTGTAGTCTGAAGACAGTGGTTTCAAAAATTTCAGCAGGTTTCAGCAAGTGTGGATGTGAGTTGGGTGGCTCAGTACCTGTGAAGGTTCCGAAGTTGTCATGCCCTTGAGCGGGACATATACACCAAGATTTGTGCTCTGTAACAACAAGTTCCAGAGATGATCATTGTTTTGTGTTAAAAGAAGGGGATTTCTGGATTTGCCTTCACCCAGAATGCCAAAATCTTCGCGCCATGTCATTTCAAGTGACTGGCCTGCAGAGTTTGCATGTTTGCACATTAAACTCATCTCTGATTGTGTGGATGTTAGTGGAAGATTCTCTCTTACTGCCGAAAAAATTGCTTCCTACCCATCTTATTCTGAAACGAAGGAGCTGTTGAAAGCTTTGGTTATCCCTGTTGGTCATCACGATGCCTAAAAGGTAACAGGTAAAACTTACGTAGTATAAGCCCCCCCTTCACCAGGTCCACAATTCGCCTGGTTTTTACCACATAAAGGTGCAGTCATGAAATGTCACCAGCTTCTATAAGTGTACAAGTAAGGGGTTTGTTTGCAAGGGAAAACAGGAGAAATCCCACTCCTCATGTGTGCCCTTACATGTTATATTCTGCTGTTCAGAGGACAGTAGCAGGCCACCTCGTCCATCTTTGTCCGTCCCTCATTGCTTAACTCCTTCCTCTACATCTCCAAACACTCAACACCCCAAAGACAGTTCATCTACATCCAGAATGTCCACATGAAATTTGCACTCACTGCAGAAATTACCTTACTCCTTCCAACCAGATCAGCTAAAACCTATGAATATTTAAGATGCTGACACTTTCCTTGACACCTCACAGGGCTGGCCCTCATTGTTTGTTTTTGAAGACAACATTTGCAGACTTTACAGCAGGCCTTTGGGCACCGCCAAGCTTCATCCTGTTGCAAAAGCTGACAGTGTGATTTACAGCAATCTTAACCCTTTTAAAGAGGTTGTTGTTAAAGTCAAGAAGTGTGGCTCTTCCACATGTTAAGCCACGCATACAGTTTTCCCTACAGAGGAAGGTGAGCTTGTAGGCTATCCCTGCTATATATTGGCCAAAGAGGCTACAGTGGGCCTCTACTCTGAAATGATTGTTGAGGGCTTTTTGTTGCAAAAGGGACGCATTTTTTTGGTCTGGGGTATTTTATACTTTTTTTGGTCAGATGGGAAAACTTACAGTTCTTAATTTTAACCATGAAATCAGTGATAGCCTGTTTTGTACCAAAGAAGTCAATTTGATGGCTGTGCACTCTTTCTTGTCTTGTCCAAATCATTGGTTGCAGATACGACTCATAGGAAATCAGCATGTCAATGGAACTTCATAAATTATCACATCCAGGAACTTTGTTATTTCCATCTTTGTATTTAGATTGTCTACCCCAGTGATGGAGCTACCACAAATGAAGTGATCTCTCTTGAGCAATTTCTCTGCAAACTAAAGATGCATTTTGTTGAGAAAGTAACCTACACCACAGCACAGAAAGACCTCATTGTCCACAGAGAGGATCCCGAGCTGCCACCTGTGATCGCCCCTGTTCTCCGTGGGTCTGTTGTAACCAACACTGAACATCTAAAAAAAAGTGTTTACTTACAGAACATGAAGAACAGGTGACTGGCAGGGTTATGTTACCTAAAACTCGTCCTTATGTACATCTTATAAAATCAATGCACAAGTCAGTTCTGGTTTCACAGGGAATTTCCTAGGAATACTTTTAAATTATTGTTAAGACCCTGGTGACAACTTGCTTGTCACGATTACGGTTTATACGTTTTGGAGTTTAGGGAACTTTACTGTTCATTCTCACCAGTCCTCTTGTTTAAAATTTCTGCTCATTCATTTTGCTTTTTCCGCGCGACGAGCAGAAATCGGTCACGATTTCCCCTTTTGAGGTAGACTGGTAACTAGAAAACAATGAATAGGCACCAAATCCGAAATCCTCGAACACTAAGCTTTCATTTGGTTCCCTGTTTGACTTGGAAAAGAATATTTTGACACTTTATTAATCCCAGCAAAGAAGGTACTCCTGACAAGTTCCCTGACAGCAAATCCTGTGTCTCGACAGCTTCCTATGAAAAATTATGTCAGTTTTTTTTGCAGCGGTTTCTCAAAAAATAAAACCATAGTTCCCTAGAAAAGGTACGTATCTTTTGCTTTTGTGAGTGAATCTTTCACAAATTGAAGCGTATCTGTTTGAAATTTTGTTTCTAAAATTGAGTATTTTTCACTGTTGAAGGTCAATTGTCAAACAGTCTATCCTTGGAATTGGAAATACATGGGCAGCAAGAAAAAATCCCCGCGGAGGAAAACTACTTGCTCACAGAAACGTCGATTTCCACTTGGTGAATTACCAAAACAGAAAGCTATCCTCCGTGATGAATATTTATCAAAAAGTAAGGAATGGCGTTCATTAAAAAAGAAAATCCGGAGGCTCCAAGAGAAGAGTGATAAGGTACAAGAATGTATCAACTCTCTTGACACAACGCTCCAGGCTCAACCCCATTTAAGCGCCTTTGAAATTTCAAAAAATACCACCACCAGACGAAAAAAGGATCCCTCTGAACTTTCTAATGAAGGTAAACTGAACGTGCCTAGATGAAGTACCCAGAGAAGGCAGTTGGAAACCTTACAGGCTGCTGCAGAGATCAATGGTGGTACAGTAGAGAACAGAGGTCCTGCTCTTGATGGTATGATATCTACTGTTTTGAAGTATGGCAAAATAACTGATATTACAAAATATTTCTGCTCATCCAAAAAAATGAAAAAAGCAGCTCTGGTGAAAATAAAGGCAGAGACAGAACGTTATGAAAAAGCAATGAAAATTTTATCTGCTCACTTTCCCTGCTCTATGCAGGAGGGATAATAGGAAAAGTGAAATATAAGCAAGGGAGGTCTGCCCTTGTTATGAAGCACACTGAGAAGACCACCAAGAAAGGAAACCCCTTCAAGCAAAGAATTACATTTGGCTTTGGAATCCCTATTCCAAGACCACTTGCTTACAAGGATTTAATTCACAAAATTGCAGAAATTGATATTGGAGAACTTATTTCTGTAAGAGAAACCTTGTGTGCAACCTTACCCCCAGAACAGAAGGTTGCTGGTGTGTACAGAGACTTAGAAAAAATGCTTCTCATCCTGAGCAAATTCTATCTGGAAACAGATCCCATAAGAAAAGACGATGAAAGACTGTCTTGGTTTGGTAAGAAGGGTGCTTTCAAAGTAGCAATAGGTGGTGACGGTGCCGCCTTTGGTAAATGGGATGAGTCCATGTCTTGGTTGGTTAGCTTTATTAATGTGGGAGCAAAAGTTGCTAGCCCAAATGATAATTTCTTGTTGTTTGGTGCCAATTGTAAGGAAGATCATCCTGCTGTGAGATTATTTACAAAGCAGTTGTCTTCCAAAATTGAAGAAATTGAAAATAATACCTACATAGTTTTGGGGATGCAAGTAACTTTTTCATTTGAACTGGTTCCATCTGACATGAAATTCCTCTCTATCATTAATGGAGAACTTAACAATGCTGCCACTTATTTTTCAAGCTTTGCAAATGTATCAAAGGAAGACTGCATGTCATTAAAAGGTAAATTTCGCACAACTCCAGATTGCAAATGGAAACCATGGCCATGCAAACAAAGACTGAACATTGCCAAGCAGGTTTTAAACTTTAAAGATAACCTTCCCTCCAACCTTGCAAAGTCCACACAGAGAACCAGGATAACACGATTCATTGCAAACAAGAATTCTAGGAAAGAATTTGACCCTTTAATTGGTAATCTTTGTGATAAAGAAGTTGTGGAGCCCCTCCATTTAAAAAATAATGGAGTGCAACATCTGCATTCAATGCTTTTGGACTTGGCAATTTCATCGAGTAACCTCCCAGACAAAATCAGCAGCTTGTCAGATCTACCCCCGTCAAGTGCAATTTCCAGGTACTTAAAAGCTTTAGAGTCTGATGTGAAAGCTGGGCGCCTAAAGAAACAACTAGAAAAGTGGATTTTAGAAGACAGGTCCAAAGACAAGGACTTTTCCTACAGACTCACTGGCAAAGACTCTAGACTTGTTTTGCATGGTTTCATGTTCCTGGTAGATGCAATCAAGGGGAATTCAGAGAACCCTACATTACTCATGAAGCTGATCTACAATGTCTTTATAACAATTAAGTTGAGTGACTGTGCTTCAAGGTTCTCTATGTATGATATCACCCCTCCAGCTGTCCAAGAGTTGCAAGAAATAAGTCATGATTACTTCAAAGCAGTAGTCCTTTTCAGTGGAAAAGTTTCAGGCACAGTCTGGAGTATTGGGCATCTTGCTCCAGTTCATACGCAGTGGTTGTTTGACAAATATGGAAGTGGTCTTGGTGTAAACACAATGCAGGGAAGGGAGGCAAAGCATGTCCAGATTGCTAGTTACGTGAAAAACAGTCTTTTCAAAGAACGCTGGCCCCAAGTGTTCCGACATGACTACATCAGTAAACTTTGGCTGCCTATTCATCAACCCTCCCTGTTGACCTATCACCAGGCAAAGGACAGCCTCATTCCCAGTCGTGTGACAAAAGATCCACTACATCACTGTTATTGTGGTTTTGCTAAGCCTGAATGCAACGAAAAGTGCTACTGTTGTGGTCATCCATTCATGGCTGAAGTGACAAGGTCAGTTAAGGAGGGAAAGCCCACCAAGGAGTGCCTAAAGTATATGTCATGAGTTAAGTCAAGACATATACAAGACATATGAAACTTAGAATGCTTCAAAATGCACTCAGTGTTCTGAGGATTAAGTTGAACCTCAGCTGCTTAAGAATTAGTATAGGTTATAGCATGATTTGTAGTGATATTTGGCATAAATACCACGAGTGATGTTTCAAAATTGTTATACGTAATTTCACGAGCCGTTAGGCGAGTGAAATTTGAGACAATTTTGAAACATCTTGAGAGGTATTTATGCCAAATATCACGTACAAATCATGCTATTATAGTTGAGAAAAATATCACTTTATTAACTGTAACTGTAAATATTGTAACCCAAGTTTCTCTGTTTACATATTGCTCATAACCATAGAGTACAGTTTCAGTGTTTTCAATAATGGTTTGCCTCATTTAAGTTTGATGAACTTATAATCATATGGAGGCAAAACATAAGTTTAAAGTATTAATTATTTGATTGAATAATACTGAATATTTGATATGGTTCCACTAACATGGTGTCTAAAACTTGAGTCAGCCTGACACAATCAGCCATTTTTTTCAAACTCTGTGTTTGAAGGGCCAACACCATTTCCATGTAACAACAGTTAAGCCATTTCGATAGTCGAAATAAACCAGTAACTTTCTGTATTCAGTGTTGCCTAATGCCAATCGAATTCCAGTAGCCATAGTGGAATTTTGCTTGCAGACACTCTGCTTTTTCATTGTAGGTCATCACTCCTTTTTTGTCTTCACTGACAATGAGCTTGGTTTGTCCCTTTCCTTTGCCTAGCTGCTTGATAAATTCACCAGTCTTCAAATTGGTCAAATAAATGACATAGCCTTCTCAGACTGAAAAAAGTAATTTTAACAGACCCTGGCTTCTCTTCAACTTCCACACCATACCTTGTTCTGCCAAGAATCTCTTTTCGTAAAAGGTTAAAAACCTCTCGTGCAATGGGGAGATCGAAAACGACCATCCATGGGTGCAATTTACTCATCCTTGGAGACAGCAGGTGATCAATGGCAGATTTCGCCTGGATCATACAATGCTCTAGCATTGGGTATAGTTCACCAAGGTTATGTTTAGGTTGCTCTCGAATCCCTCCAAAGTTTCCTTTCACAACTAACTCAGAAATCTGGTTTAGTCGTTTGAATGTGATGTCTAGATCTCTTAGTTTATGCGTATTCACAATTCTTTGCTGGAATTCTGACTTCTTATGCCTAAGAGCCTGTTTGATTGAATATATCAGTTCCTCTTCGGTGGGTTCCGCCATCTTGGATTTAGTTAAACTTAACCCCAGGTTATGCGCGGCCAAATTGAAAGTTGGCCCAATTTCAAGCAACAATTTCCAAGCGTGGTGCTTGTGGTGGATGTGTTGTAGGTTCAATCCATTCACAGGTTCAGTCAGTATTTCTCTGTCTCCAATGAATAATTAGGGTTAGGAAACAAAGTAATACTACATCAAACAAAGGAAATACTGATTTCACCTCAGAATTTCTTCCTCTTATTTTCTAATAGGGCTACACAGATTATTTTTGAATTGTTTTTTTTTTTTTCCCCAAGCAATCATCTCCTAAGTGTCAGCTTCTCAAATATATTTAGTTTAACAGTCTATAGTTACAGTATGTTAGACTCCCGATGTCCACATCAGATTTGTGGATTTATACACGTTCCTTTTACTGACCTTTTTTAAATTCCTCTTAAATCTTATATTGACCAATTACACAATGCATCGGATGATAGGGCTCTGAGTGACAAAAAATAACTTGGAAACATCAGGGCCCAGTTGTTTGAACGCGGGTTAGCACTAACCTGGGGTTAAATTTTAACCCGGGTTTCTTTTTCTTTTTATCAAAAGCACTCTCTTGGTAATTTTTTTTAGTATATACTAAAACAGTGGATAGTGTTTTTCGCGCGCTCTGATTGGCTACTCAATCAGTGAATATCCTGCACTATTCACTGATTTACCTCCAGTTCCTCCGAGCGAGCGACGCCAAACTCGCGTAAGTTGCGAGCAAAATGCCTTCCCGGTTTGCTGCCAAATACAAAAAGAATTCACAACTCCTTTTGAAGAAATTTCCCCGCAAGAGCTAAACAAATGCCTTCAAAAGTTTTAATTGTCGGCAAGAAAAAGCGACGGCTGCGGCCGCCCGGTCATTACGCGCCAAAATTGTAATTGTTGGCAACAGTATTTGAGTTAAAAATCGTCATTTTTGTGCTCAATTATCTCACTGTTTTAGTATATTCTAAAACAATTATTCACCTCAGTGTCGGTGGCTAGTCGTGGTATTTACCTCACTGCGAAGCAGTGAGGTAAATATCCACGACTAGCCACCTCCACTTCGGTGAATAATTGTTATCTATTTTTTTAGCATATCCAATCATCAAATTGTAGGCAAAGAGAATTCAACTGATTTGGCTTTTGAAGCTCTCATATCTGAATTCAAAATATGCACTAACACTGGGTTATCTTAACCCAGCTTTGAACAACCCGGCCCAGTCGGTTAATTTTGACTCAGTTGCACTTTGTTATATTTCCTAAAGAATTTAAATCCGATCCCTGTGACAAACTAGTATTTAAAGTCGTAATATATGTTAATTACCAGCTAATAATAACAGCCACTGTTATTACTCATGATTTGTATGATAAAGGAGCTCCCGCGCGCGAAGCGTGCAGCGGAGCACCATGGGTAACAAAATTTGGTAAACTATCCATCCGAGAATATTTGGTCATGATGTAGCGTACGCCCGCCTGCCGTACACACACTTCATGTAAGCCGATGTCAAATGTCACAATAGATCTTGCACAACTTGACTAGCCTTTCAGTTTTGTAAGCAATCCGTATGAGTACGATTAGATTGAAAGCTGTCATCCGCTGACAATTATCACATGACCATCCCACGCGCTCAGATGAAAGACCAGTCGTTTTGCCCCTACATATAAGCTGATATAATATGTCACACTTACCAATTCAACATAAAAACGAAACTACGCTGGGCAGGGCTGTCAGTTGGCTGACAGTCGTTTTAAGTTATATTGGCAAGCCAAATTAAGGTCAATTGACAGCTGTCAAAATGGGACATGTGCAGACCAATATCAGAAAACTAATAATGTGGGCTGAGGTTCGCTCAGGTACATGATCTGGCATTTTCCACTACAAGCCGGATAGATATGTCTTACTCACACTCGTAGTCTGTTAATTCGAATATTCACCATTCTAATGAAGGTTAATTGACAGCTGTCAAACTAGAGTATACGCTGACTATCATCACCTGACTGTATCGCAGGCTCATTTTTCTATCCATTAAGATCACATAGTTTTTAAAGTTTTCCGTATATATTTTATTTGGTCATGGGCTCAATTCGAAGCCCCATAGCTTAGAAAATCTATCCATCCTAGAAAATTCGGTAATCAGGTGACCGTATACTGACCACCCGACCTTCCGTCCGTCCGTACCACAGGCATACCAATGTTTAATCCCATACTTTCTAGCTAGTATGGGAGCCTGCAGCCTGATATTATACACCCATGTTTTGATTAATTGACAGCTGTCAAAATAGTGTTTCTGCTGCCCAGTATCGACTGACCATATTGCGGGCTCAGGTATCGACCCACTGAGTTTGAGTGTTTTTTTGAAGTTATCCGCTGACAAGTTGCTACTTTTCAAGTGATCGCAGGCTCAAGTTCAATTTTTTCAAAATGTATACAAAATAAGTCGTGTTCATGAGCCGCACTTTTAAAAAGTTGTTGCTTTTCAAATGATCGCAGGATCAAAATCGATTTTTTTAAAATGCATATGAAAGGAGTCGTGTTCATGAGCAGCACTTTTGAAATTTTGATTTCAAACTGACCTCGGACACGAAAATTCAACCGGCTTTTACATGCAGGGAAGGCAATCGGTTTTGACTTTTCTCACTGTCACGCGTTGATTGCGCTCTACGTCCAATTTTTATGTTCTGATTGTTCAAAATTTGACAGGTGAGTTCATGCGGAAAATTTATGCAGCGTCTGGAAACTTGCTTACTGATAGCTGAAGTTGACAGAGTTTTGTGTCATCTTGTGATGTTTTAAACTGTCTTTTTCCACCTTATATACAAAATGAAATACAGCTGCTTTCAAGATTGTTCTGTGGTTTGTTTATTGCGCTTTTTGTCGACAAATGCACTGCTTGTCAAAGTCATTGGAAATCAGATTTCGGATGACATCGTTTTCAAAAATAAGCTTACTCACTTGCCCTTGCCTGAGGGGTAAGAGGGTTGAAAAGTCTCAAGCGATCCTGGAACACTTGATGACCTTCGGAAGCAACATCTCCAATGGTAAGCCTGAGCAATTATTGTCTTTGATGTGTATTTCTTTTTTCAGTTTCCTGAAGTCGAGCGTATGGTTTATAGGGCTTAAGTTTATACATGAGCAATGATCTAAGCTACAATAGTATCAAGTTTAAAAAGCCTTTAGACATTTTTTGACCGCAAATTTAAAGAGAAGGTTCCCAAGAATATTTAGTTATGATTTTGGCTGTAAACAGAAAGCTCTGAGCGATTTTCTTGCCTCGAGTTCATCTTGAAAAAGAGCAAACACCGGGAAGCCGGCTTAAAACATAAATATGCTCATGCTTACCTGACTCATGATTTG